TTTTAGGCCAAGGGAGCTAGCGTTTGTCCACAGACAGCTTTCCAGGTCATGTGTTCAGCAGGACTAAAGCACTTCTAACGCAAACCAGAGCTCATGGAAACGCCGTTTACCTTCCCGCTGCAGCGTTACCCATTTATCTACTTGCACTGGTGTGCTTTCGAACTGCTAGGTTGGCAATAACTCTTTTCTAAGGGCAATGGCACCCACATGAGAGGTGTGGAAACTGAGTTGCAGCAAAATCTGGCAGGAAAAATAGCCCCAGTTACACCCCTTGAAATGAGGGCTACGGATGCAGGAAGCCTCTGAGGGTTTCGACGCTTGTCAGAGGTGTGGCAGGAACTTTGCTGCAAGGATGGGGAATGTGGAAGCATAGCAAGACCGTCGCTTAATCTAGTTCAGTATTGTCAACACTGAATGGCAGCAGCTCTCCAGGCTGTCAGGCAGGGAGTCTTTTCCCAGGTGCTGGGGACTGAACTGGGGACCTTTGGCATGCATGCAGAGCAGATGTTCCACCACAGAGCTACCAGTACATTGTTCCCCTTAAGACACTGGAAGATAAGAAGTTGCCTTAGACCAAGCCTGACCAGTGTTCCAAATAGCTCAGCTTCCCAGCATTTTAGGGGGCACCTTCTGCATGGGATGCAGATGGTCTACCTAGAGCTACAGCCATTCAACAACACTCTTGGTTTCCATCATCCCTGTGGCAAAAGGCTGCGGCTCAGTAACAGGACACTTACTTTGAATGCAGAAGGTCCTGGATCTGATCTATGACATCTCCCAGTAAGCCCTGTCTGAAATTCTGGAGAACTACCACCAGAGGAGCAAAAGAGGGTTAGATGAAGCAGAGGGAGCACTTTTCAAGGATTCTTCCAGGAGTCTGTGGGGTGGTTGGGCTGTAGCTCCATGGTGGAGCATCTGTCTTGCCTGCAGAAGGCCTCAAATGCAATCGCTGGCATCTCCAAGTAGGGCTGCGAGAGCTCCTGTCCTTCAGACCTACGAGGAGTAGCTTCCTGCTTTGTTTCTAGGGAAAGGGCCACAGAAGAACATTTGCCCCACATGCAGAAGGTCCTAGGTTTCTGTTAAGTTGTGAGTTGACATAGCAGACGACACAGCGATTTCTCCAAAGCAGCTCTTTATTTAGTAAGCTGGAACAGAAGTGAGCAGCAAACAGCTCAGCCGGCCTGCTTTTATAGGCAGCCGGCTGTCAACATTGTAGCAACAACAACCCAGGGTTTCCCGCCTAAAATAACTGACGTGGACCTGAGTGAAAACTATCTACAGTATCCCCCTGCTGGCCCAGGGTGAGAACTTCTGTACATAACACCTTCATCCCCAGTGGCAGCTCCTGGTAAGGCTGAGAGGGACCACAGCCTGAAAATCTGGACAGCCACCATGGGTCAGTGCCAACTATCCTGCGCTAGTTGGGCCGATGGTCTGACTCAGTAGAATGCAGCTTCTTGTGTTTGCCTTTTATATACTCACAACAACCCTTTGAGGTAGGCTAGGCTGAGAGGTAGTGACTGGCCCTAGTTTCCCCAGCAAGCTTTATCACTGAGCAATGCGCACATTCCACTTGCTGAAGAGGCTTTGCTGACCTCCCGGAAAAACACAAATTCCATCTTCTCCTTTCAGGTAAAGATCATAAGGCGACCTGGATGGTCGCCAGATTCTGTCTACAGATCTGTAGGTGCAGACAATCCCCTGATACAAATTAGTCTGTCAAGAAAATCCCCATACTCATGGGTTACTCTGGGCCAATTTTCTATGGTAGTTTTTCCTAAAGATTTCCTAAAGATTTTATGTGTTTACGCGTTTAGCACATTTTTTTTTAACATGTAAGCCATTGCTGTAAATTGTTTTAAATGTCTGCTTTGCTTTTGTTTTGTTTTTTGTTTTTGTTTTTTTAAATAAATTTTATTAGTATTTTCCACACAACAACAACATGAAAGATATCAAAAAATAACAATACACAACACACAAAAATCAACATTCGAAAACTAAAGAAAGCAACAACAACAACAAAAACGAAAAGAAAACACTTTGCTTTGGGGAGTACAGTCCCATTATGTGTTCTACAAGCTGGTCTCTGACCATAATCAATTATTATTATTATTATTATTATTATTATTATTATTATGCACACATTCATAAACAATGCTATTAAATATGGTCTGTTCTCAGGGAGTGGGAAAGAAAGTCGAAAGCATCAGTTACCCCCGAACACCACATTGGACCACTTATAAACGCCATCTCCAACTCCTCGAAAAATTCCATCAACGGTGTCTCCAAATTTTTTACACATCACTTGGAAAGACAGGCGAACTAATGTCAGTGTACTGGGAGAAGCAAAGATCACCAGTGTCGAAGTGATGATTCTTCAACACTGAGGTCCAGCTCCAAGGGCCTTCTGGCAGTTCCCTCTCTGCGAGAAATAAGGTTACAGGGAACCAAGCAGAGGGCCTTCTCGGTAGTGGCACCCGCCCTGTGGAACGCCCTCCCATCAGATGTCAAGGAAATAAACAACTATCTGACTTTTAGAATACATCTGAAGGCAGTCCTGTTTAGGGACGTTTTTAAAGCATGATGTTCTATTGTGCTTTTAATTCTGTTGCGAGCCACCCAGAGTGGCTGGAGAAACCCAGTAAGATGGGTGGGGTATTAATAATAATAATAATAATAATAATAATAATAATAATAATAATTCAACATCAACTTCATTGGACTGGTCATGTTGTTCATGTTGCATGATTATTGTCTTCCAAAGCAACTGCTCTATTCCGAACTTTAAAAAGGAAAGCGTAATGCTGGTGGTCAACAAATGAGGTTTAATGACTCTCTCAAGGCAAATCTAAAAAAGTGTAGGATAAACACCGACAACTGGGAAACACTGGCCTGCGAGTGCTCCAGCTGGAGAACAACCTTTACCAAAGGTGTTGTGGGCTTTGAGGACGCTGGAACTCAGGACGCAAGGGAGAAACATGCTAAGAGGAAGGCACGCTTGGCAAACCCTCACCATGATCAACTCCCACCCAGAAACCTATGTCCCGACTGTGGAAGGACGTGTGGATTCAGAATTGGGCTCTACAGTCACTTAAGGACTCACTGTTAAAACCGTGTTTTTGGAAAACAATCTTACTGGCTGCGAGTGATTGCCAAAGAAGAAGAAGGTGTTGGGAGATCTGCAAATAAGCAGGGGTGTGTGTGTGTGTGTGTGTGTGTGAGAGAGAGAGAGAGAGAGAGAGAGAGAGAGAGAGAGAGAGAGAAAATAGGTCATAATTTATTTACAGCTAGGGAAGGTTCTTTTCTATTTCAAAGCTGCTAATATATTTTTTCATCTTCTTCACCCCACCTGGCTTCTGCAGAAGCGGGTGGTGAGGGAAGGCAGCACTTCTTTCCTGAGATCGTGTCTCAAGAAAGCCCTCACTGTTCACTGACTGTACCTGTGAAATTCCACAGGATCCTAAATTTGGAGCCAGCCATGCTAGCGGACAATGGAGAAAGCAGCCCAGCAAAAAGGACAGCTTCTGAACTGCTCAAAAGGCTTTCATGCAGGGGAGGTGGGGGGCAGAGAAGACTGTATTGGGAACTGATTATGCCCTGATACACAAGACGGTTGTTTTAAGAGCATCAGAAGAGTCCTGCAGGATCAGGCCAGTGACCCAACTGGTTCACCACCCTGCAGGCCTTCCCAGAGACATCTGGTTGTTGTCCACTGTGAGGCTGGACAAATTGAGCTTGGACGCTGAACTAGCTAGGTGCGCTCTTCCTAGTTCCCTGTGTCATAAGGGACGGGACCTTAGCTTAGTGGTTAGAGCATCTCCTTTGTGTGCAGAAGTCCCCATGTTCAGTCCCTAATGTAGAGCTGGGATAGAGGCTCCACATCTGAAGAATTGGATGACACCTGCCAATCAGTGTGGGCAATCCAAAGCTAGATGGACACAGCTTTCTGTGTTCCTATGTTCCCCTATTTTGTCTTCACAACAACCCTCTGAGGTAGGCTATGCTGAGAGGTGGTGGCTGGGCCTTAGGTTACCCAGTGAGCGTTATTATTGAGGAGAAAGAGAGAGAGAGAAAATAATTAGATATTCTGCTGCTGCTCAGGTATATCTAATTGATCATAATATAGACAGAAGCATGGGAACGATTGTGGGATAGGGATATAAAATTTACAGCATGCTATGGTCTAAGAGAAAATTATATGAAAATGATATATTGGTGGTACCTAACACCAAGTAAACTGGCAAAAATGTATAAAATGAAATCAAATAAGTGTTGTCAATGTAGAGAAAAAGAAGGGTTTTTTTATCATATGTGGTGGTCTTGTAGTAAGGTTAAGGCCTACTGGGAAATGATATATAATGAAATGAAAAGGATGTTTAAAATAACCTTTGTAAAAACAAAAACAAAAAACAACAACCCCAAAACAGAAGCTTTTCTTTTGGGAATTATAGGGGTAGAACTACCCAAACTGTATAGAAACTTATTCATGTATGCTTCTACAGCGGCAAGCATGTTACTTGCCCAAAAATGGAAAGAAGAGGAAGACCCAGCAAAGGAAGAATGGATGCAAAAACTTACAGAGTATGCAGAAATGGAGAAACTTACCTGAAGAGTAAGAAATCAAGATAACAAACTTTTTTTTATAAAAGAATGGAAATGGTTTATTGAATATTATAAATCATTTCCCAATACTCTTTTACTTTTTTACATGTCCACAACATATGAAAGAATGTTCCCTCCTCCTCTTTGCATCTCCAGCACTTCTCTGAATCAGTCTTAATACATCTTAGCAAGCCTACTCGGAGTTAAATACCATCTGTAAATCATTTTCAAGTACCGGTAGTTCTCCTTCAAAGAATAACATGCTGTGAACTTCAAGTCACTTTTCCAGAGTTTTCCCTAGAGCTTAAAATCTATATTGTGACCTATAGCTCAGGATTGTCTACACTGGCAGGTGTCAACCAGTTCTTCAAATGGGGAGCCTCTCTCCCAGTCCTCCCTGGGGATGCCTTTAGGGACTGAACATGGGGACTTCTGCACACAAAACAGATGCTCTAACCACTAAGCTAAGATCCCCTCCCTTATGACACAGGGCACTAGGAAGAACTCACCTAGCTGGTTTTAAACATTTGAATTGAATTGAAATTGAAATACTTTATTGTCACTTGTACAACTTGTATACAGTGAGATTACACGAGCACCCCCCACTCAGCTCTCTTAGTCTTAATTCCCCTCATTTACTGACGCACACCCACCAAACCAGCCAGTTGCCCTGCCATTCAGCAGCCTAACAGCCCAAGGATAGAAGCTGTTCTGTTGGTGTGACTAATCATGCTTCTATATCTTCTGCCTGAGGGCAGGAGATCAAGAAAGTGCTGGCCAGGGTGTGAATCACCCCTGAGAATTTTCCTCACTCTCCTGAGGCAACGTTCTTCTGCTATTTCATCCAGCGCATTCACAGGACAGCCCATAATATCTTGTGCTGTATTCACCACCCTCTGTAGGCACTTCCTATCAGATGATGTCAAACCAGCGTACCACACCATGATGCAGTATGAAAGGACACTTTCTATTGTGGACGGGTAGAAGGAGATCATCAGATGTTGATTGACATCGTTCTTCCACAATACTCTGAGGAGATGGAGTCTCTGTTGGGCTGTCTTAACCACCTGGTTGTATTTATTTTCCAAGTAAGGTCTTCCTAGGAATTTAAAGGAAGAGACTCTCTCCACACAGCCCTCCCCGATGTACGGCGGGGCTAGTTCTCCTCTCTTCCTCCGAAATCCAACACCATCTCCTTTGTCTTGCTGATATTAAGATGCAAGTTGTTCCCTAGGCACCATGTAGATATTTTTTGGACCTCCCCTCTATAGGCTGATTCGTCTCCACCTGTTATTAAACCCATTATGGTGGTGTCATCTGCAAACTTAATAATTGCAGTCAGATGATACACAATCGTATGTATACAGTGAATACAGGTAGGGACTTAGCACACATTAACAACCAAATCAGGGACTTAACAAACAACAATCCCCCCCAATGCATTATAAATCATTTCTCCCTTATCTTCTCCACTCTGTGCTTCTCTCTTCTCCTGGCCCTCATCCTGCACCCATCTCTCACCTCCTGCCAGCTCTCCAGGAGGCATGTGGGAGTGTTGCCACTGGGCATCTGAGGTGTGTCACCCAGGGTGTGGGAAATGACTATAAAAAGAGCTGAGCCACTCCAGTCAGCGCATGAGCCCAGCTGTCAAAAAGCGAGAAGCAACGTTGCCCTGGGTTTTACTCAATCCCCACATGATGGATGGCTTCTCCCAAACAGTTAATGATGGGAGATGCAGCACCCTGGTTGGGTCAGCATCCAGATGAAGATTGCCAATTTGCTCCTCCACAGACCTTGGATTGATCTTGAAAGACCTACATTGGCTCCCAGTACGTTTGTGAGCACAGTTCAAAGTGTTGGTGCTGACCTTTAAAGCCCTAAATGACCTCAGCCCAGTATACCTGAAGGAGTGTCTCCACCCCCATCATTTAGCCTGGACACTGAGGTCCAGTGCCGAGGGCCTTCTGGCGGTTCCCTTCCTGTGAGAAGTGAAGTTACAGGGAACCAGTCAGAGGGCCTTCTCGGTAGTGGCACCCGCCCTGTGGAACGCCCTCCCATGAGATGTCAAAGAAATAAACAACTATCTGATGTTTAGAAGACATCTGAAGGCAGCCCTGTTTAGGGAAGTTTTTAATGACTGATGTTTTAATGTATTTTAAATCTTTTGTTGGAAGCCGTCCAAAGTAGCTGGGAAACCCAGCCAGATGGGCGGGGTATAAATAATAAATAATATATTATTGTTATTGTTGTTATGTGCTTGCAGAAGGGGGCAACTGTTGGGAGCTCATCAACAATGCTTGCAATAAGTTTCCTGACCTTGGGGAAGGTGGCAATAGACAGAAAGGCCACCCTTCGCTGATTCCCTCTTGAGTAACTACCTACAATTGCTCTCTTTCTGGATTTACTTCCTTCCTGCTGCTTCTTCTGTTACGTACCCTCCAACATTTCTCTGATGAAAATAGGGGTGTCCCCCTCCCTTTAAATCCATAAATCCAGCAAAAAGAAAAGAACTCACTCTTAAACTCACTTACAGGTGGTATTTAACACCACATAAACTAATGCTAATACGACCAGGAACCTCACCAAATTGCTGGAGAGGATGCACCTCCACAGGCACATACCTCCACATGTGGTAGGAATGTCCTAAAATCCAACCCTTCTGGACATCAATCATACAAGAAATATACAAAATAACTAAGCAAGTATTAGATGTCACCCCAGAACTGGCCTTACTAAACATCTCGCAAGATAATAAAATAGGGATGTCCCATTCCATAATAATAATTTTTCTATTTATACCCCACCCATCTACCTGGGTTGCCCCAGCCACTCTGGGCGGCTTCCAACTTATATAAAAACACAATAAAACATGAAACATTTTTTTTAAAAAACCTTCCCTATGCAGGGCTGCCTTAAGACAGCTTGTGGGGGCAGATAACTCCATACCCTCCAACTTTTCTCCAGTGAGAATAGAGACATCCTAAGGAAAAGCAGGACATTTCTGGATCAAATCAGAAACTGTGACGGCTTCTGTAAATCAGGGACTGTCACCGGAAAATAGGGACACTTGGAGGGTCTGCAGTTGGTCTTGGGCCTTAACCCCATGAATCTTTGGAGGGTGAGCATAAATCTTGCCTGGGTGAAGATCAGGTCCATATATCAGGATTTAACCACCCCTCCTTTAAAGGAGGGATGCGGGTGGCACTGTGGGTTAAACCACAGAGCCTAGGACTTGACGATCAGAAGGTTGGCGGTTCAAATCCCCACGACGGGGTGAGCTCCCGTTGCTTGGTCCTTGCTCCTGCCCACCTAGCAGTTCAAAAGCACGTCAAAGTGGAAGTAGATAAATAGGTACCATTCCGGCGGGAAGGTAAACGGCATTTACATGCGCTGCTCTGGTTCACCAGAAGCGGCTTAGTCCTGCTGGCCACATGACCCGGAAGCTGTCTGTGGACAAACGCCAGCCTATAGAGCACGCAACCCCAGAGTCGGTCACGACTGGACCTAATGGTCAGTGGTCCCTTTACCTTTACTTTACCTTTAAAGGAATGGGTTTGTGGTGGTGGATGGGGGGCAGGGGGCAGGGGGTGGGAGAGACTTTCCTACGTCCGCTGCTAAAAATGGCTGTAGTATAAATGAAATAAAACAATGTAATTTTCTTCCCATTGTTCAACAACAACCACCCCACTGTTGTTGTTATTGAATGGATGGTGCAACGGGCAACAATAAATCAAGCTATTTCTTTTGTTTCCCTTTTTGCTGCTGGCACATTTTCAAGCCTACGAAAGATGCTGATGCAGGGAGGGGGCTGCCCCCCCCCCAGTTGCGATGCAGAAACATGGATCAGGTTAAGGACGGGGTTTTTCCCGGAGAATCTTGCTATCAAGTTTATCTGCATGGATGTGCTTTTGCTGTTGCAATTTCTGTCTTGCTCCTTCATTGTATGCCACCCTATATGCAGAGACAAGGCAAGCCAAGTTTATGATGGGAAAATGAGAAACCCTTATACATTTATTTATGTTCACCTCTTGGCATACTGCTTCATCGCTGGAGTTTCTAAGCTGTGTGCATGAAGATTTCAAAAACCATAGGTAAAGAAAGGTAAAGGGACCCCTGACCATTAGGTCCAGTCGTGGCCGACTCTGGGGTTGCGGCACTCATCTCGCTTTACTCGCCAAGGGAGCCAGCGTACAGCTTCTGGGTCATGTAGCCAGCATGACTAAGCTTTAGATATTAGGCCTTTAGATATTTGAAGATGGCTATCATGAGCCTAGGGCTTGCCGATCAGGAGGTTGGCGGTTCAAATCACTGCGACGGGGTGAGCTCCCGTTGCTCTGTCCCAACTCCTGCCAACCTAGCAGTTTGAAAACATGTCAAAGTGCAAGTAGATAAATAGGTACTGCTCCGGTGGGAAGGTAAATGGTGTTTCCGTGTGCTGCTGTGGTTCGCCAGAAGCAGCTTAGTCATGCTGGCCACATGACCCAGATGCTGTCTGCAGACAAATACCAGCTCCCTTGGCCTATAGAGCAAGCTGAGCGCCACAACCCCAGAGTCATCCGTGACTGGACCTGACGGTCAGGGGTACCGTTACCTTTACCTTTATCATGTCTCCTCTCAAAGGGCTGTCACATAGAGGTTGGAGCAAGCTTGTTTTCTCCTGCTCCAGAGGGTAGGAACATGACCAATGGATTCAAGCTACAGTAAAGGGGATTCCAACGAAATATCAGGAATAATGATGTAAGAGCTGTTCGACAGCAGAACTGTCTCCCTCAGGAGGCTGTGGGTTCTCCTTCCTTGGAGGTTTTTGAGCAGAGGTTGGATGGTCATCTGTCATGGATATTTCAGTAGGGATTCCTGCATTTGGACTAGAGGACTCTCAGAGTCCCTTCCAACTCTATCATTCTATGAGAGTCAAACCCCCAATATTGAATGAACTGGTGGATACAAGCAGTGCATCTGAGCCGCCAGGGGTGGTGTCACTAACAGAGACTCCTCTGAAGATCTCAGTGATTGGACAGAGGCAGTCCTGGTTCTTTTTATCATATGTGGTGGTCTTGTAGCAAGGTTGAGGTTTACTGGGAAATGATATATAATGAAATAAAAAGGATGTTTAAAATAGCGCTTGTAAAAAAACAACAACCAGAAGCTTTTCTTCTGGGAATTATAGGGACAGAACTACCTAAATTGTATAGAAATTTATTCATGTACACAACTACAGTGGCAATAATGTTACTTGCCCAAAAGCTCAGGAACCAAGAAGACAAAAACTTCAATAAAGAATGGGGGAAATGTACAGTTTATTTAGGAGACCACTGTAAGCAGATGAAAGCATTAGCAGGATTTTAATAGCACTTGTAAAGTAGCAAATAACATGGATAATATGGAGAGATTTAAAATATGGGTTATGAAATAATATGCATTTGAAAAGGTTGATAGTAGGACCCATGGAGGGGAGTGTGGGAAGTCTTGAGAAA